ACTGCAATGGTTTTTGCTATGTTCTTGAACATGAGCAATAAAATGATTGCATTTTTCATGGCGCACATGGCACTTTTTGTAATGAATTCAGATAGATGACTAAATTAACAGAATTGAGTTGTAGACATAGTTCTCATGAAGCAGGAAAGTTAGCAAGGATTCTGAGAATGTTAATGTCCACGAGGCAGAAACTCACAATTAGTAGGCCTACAAGATATATATAAAAAATACGCCTACAAGATGCATATGAAATGTCAACTGTCATTATGATTGTCAGGTTTTAAGATTGATATGTCTAAGACCTATACAGAATGAGATAGCAGTGGAAACGTTCATGAATAAGTCTTCAGCAGTAAAAATGAATGTTGATTTGCCTATATCCAGATCATCCTTTTGTGTGTTTTTGTGAACATTTGAACATTGATGATATTTTAAAAACTATTTCAAAAAGTAAATTTTAGCTGAAAGGTACCTCTAAGTGTTTTTTTCAAATGATATTTACAAATACATAACCAATTAAAAACAATGCAGATTTGGAAACCATGAATTCCTGTCCCAGAAATGTAACTTGAAGCACAAGACTTAACTAATTAGTCTTCACAAATTTAACATTTCAGGTAGGAAAAAAATGATTGAATGAATTAATGAATTATAGATCAAAGAATAGTCTCTGAAAAAAATTATGACTGATTACAAATAAAAACATTTTGCATTTTTCCAACAGAAAAGCTCAAGATGGAAAAGGATAAAGCTGATCATAGCTCCCTCCCCATCCCCCATGTATCTAATAATAAATAGTAAAAAATATAAAATCCCTAAATTCTAAAACAGTGTAACGGAATTCATTTAGATATACGAAACAGAAAAAATACCTAAAGGTAGGGTTAGAATTATTTAGAAACAAAATATAAAATAAAACAGTACTGATTGTCATTCCTTATTTATATGCTCCTTTTACAAATTGCCAGGAAGGAAAATATTCCATATCTTATATCCATCTAAAGTTTTGCCATCACTTACTAAGAATACTCCTTCAATTCAATCTGTCTAGCCACTATTTCATTAAAGTGATATTTAATGACATAATAATGATAGGCACACTGAAATATAATTTCTCTAAAGCATTCCAAAGACAGTTCAGTCATTTTCTTATTCACTTTGATGTTTGCCTTGATGGCTGCAACTTGATTGTGCTTCATTAAGCAGCCTGATCTTGTTATTAGATGACAAAGAATCCTTTCTAAAATCTCCTTATCCACTTCTCTGCCTAGTCTTTAGTTCTATCTACAAAAAAGTTGGGGCTGAGTAGGATGGAAGAGAAGTTATTTGACTTATGTAGCCAAAAGGATTTTTGTCCATCTCCATTGCATTTCCCTTAAATGAGAGGATGAATTACTGGCCTATTTCCAGGAGTTAATGGAGTATGTGTGTGTTTCAGAAGGTTGTAAAAGAATTTTCTGTTCTATCCATGTGAGCACTGAAGAACTGTGGTCTTGATATGGGAGGAATCTTTTTTTGTTGTTTGCTTGTATATTGCTCATTTCCATCAAATTCAATAGAAATTCTTAGACAATATTCTGTCCGCATACACTAGTTCTGACATACAACTCATGCTCTTGGTATTGTTTCTCCCCTTTTGGTTTCCTTTCTGAGTCATTTGCTATCGACACTCTGAAAATGGTTTTTAATGCCTGCTCTTTCCTTTTTCCAGACATACACGATTTACTCTCCTATACACAACCACCTCTGGAAATCTTAACAATAATAACAATGACTATCATAAATATAAGATGGGGTCCAAACCCTTAGATTTAACTGAAAAATATCCCAGCACCAAGGGGTAATCGTAATCCTGAATAAAAAGTCTGCCATTGATTTTAATAGAGGTATGAGTTCGCCCATATTGTTGAGTAAAACATTGCCAGTGATTTCAATGGTTACTGGATTGGAGCAATGGCTAGAAGTGAAGGATAAAGGTAGATTATTGGAAACTAATAGGCAATCTATTAAAATATCCTTTCTGTAGAAGCCTTGTAGAGTCTTCATATAAAGCTTGCAATGTCTTATTTAATAATATTTTATTGTAGCCGAGGGGAAAAAAGGTAGACATCATTCTTCATATAGGTCTGAGAAGTGATGAATATAAAAATAATAAAATATAGAACGTGATAATGTCACCACATTTGACTTCTCTTGCATGAAAAGGTCAGTCAGAGAATTTTGTAATATTCAAATGAAATCCCAAGACACACAGGGTGCATAATTCAACAGTACTTGGTTATAATAAAAGGTTGCTGGTTCAAAGTTAGGAAACTGATCTTTGCCTTTTGACATAATGTGTGCATTTAATCATAAGAAGTGTTCATATTATGAGGTCTTTTCTTAACCTCAATTCTTTGTCTACTGGAAATCTAAGGCTAAATTCAGAGAAAGCAAAGATATATTTTTCAAACATTATAGAAAAAATCTTAATCCTGCTTTGTGAAATATAAAATGAGGCTGTTGTAAAAAAGGAAATTTAAGATTTTGTAAAAAGAATTATTGATTTTTTTCTAAAATATTGAATGATTCAGAAATGTAGTAAATGACCCTTACCAGAAACTGAAATTTTGAATCTATGAAGCATACAAAGGTTGGCCCTAGTAATTCCTCACATACCTCTCAGTCCTGTTTGGAAAAACAGAATTGTCTCCTGATTCCACTAAATTTAACAGTAAACTCACAATGATTTCAATGTGACTTCACTCTTAAATAGTTCAATTTCTAGAGTCTAGATTCTCAAATATTTTAGGTACCCAACTCCAAGTGAAATCTACTGAGTTAGATACCTAACTAAATTTGATGAGCTGGACCTAAATTTACTGCAACCTTTTAGTAGACAAAGACAATTGTAATTTCCAGTGTCTTTATGATAGAGCTATCTCTTTACTGGGGTGAATTTCTACATTTGCATAAAAATGGTATATTGGGTTCCCTGTTTTCAAAGGGACTGCTTGACATCATATGAACTGGTGATTAGGAAATCAAATGCTTATTTTATGTGATGAAAGGCTGTAGTTTCATCAATTGTTTTAACTGTATTTGGAGGTCCAAATTAAAGTTTTAGACCTTTACTTTGAGACCCCATATTGGGAAACTTGATATTTCCATATGTAGATCATGCTGGAACTCAAAATGAATTGTTGAACTGGCTGTCTGGAAATATTAAATCTGTAGTCATCATTAAAAGAACTGGAAATATTTTAAACATCTACACAGAAAGGAAACCTCTTACTTTGTGTTTACTTCTCTTTAAACAAATTATATTTTCTTCTTTTAAAACATTGAATATTTTCAACAGCTATCATTGGGGATTGTGTGTTTTGTCTATAGATTCCTGTAACAAACTCGAATTTTGTTAGATTTAAAAAAAACAACAACAAATCCAACACACCAAATTTGAGATGTGTGCACTTCCCTTATTTTAACAATTTAAAATACTTAAAATAATCACATACTTTCTGTGTGAGGCAGGATGAGTAAAATTAACTTGCCCACTGCAATCACTACAGATTATTTTAAAACTCTTATGAGACCCAAACACAGCAGGGCTTAAGGGTTACAAGGCACATCTACAGGTGCTATTAATGCTATAAAGGCTTACTGTGCAGGAAAATACTGCACAGTAAGCCTTCTCTGGGAGCACGTCTACATGTGCCCCTGTTGGACTGCTCCTACCCTTCTCTGGCCTCCTGCAACAACCAGGGGGAGCTCCAGACTCCCTGAGGTGCTGATTCAGGGGCTGGCATGGAGCATAGGGGCCAATGCTGATGCTCATGGGGCCACAAGAGCTGTACCCACTTCAGTGGCAGCTATCTCCTATCCCCATGAACACTGGGACTGGGACTGGGACTGGGACTGAGACTGGTCCTGATGTGCACAGGGCTGGGAAACAGTTGATGTTGCAGAGCTCTTCTGGCCCCGTGCACGTGGGACAAGCCCCATGTCCAGCAGGGCTTCCCCCACAGCTGTGGGCTGGCCGAGAGCTGACTCACTTCTCTATTTACAGGTAGTAGCTAATTGTAGAGTAGACTAACTTATTGCACAGTAAATGGTGTGTACATGTAGATGGTGACATGTTACTGTGCAGTAGATTAGTCTACTGCACAGTAAAGCATCTCATGTAGACATGCCCACAGTGAATATATTTATAACTTTAATAACTCAAAGACCATATAAAGGGGAAGAGGTTGGAGTGAGCCAAACGAAACAGTCCACAATGTCTGTGAAATGATGATAGGCCTGTAACCATAAACAGAGAGAAAGAAATATAAATTTTAATAGGTACAATCTGTTCCTTCATTCTAGAGAAAGACTTAGCTACATTGAAAAGCATCTGCAAAGGTACTTATGATGTGTAGAACTTTATACATACTTTCTACCCTTTGTAAATATATAATATGGCTTTGTTTTGAAGGAGTCTGATGTGGCCAGCAATTCCTAATGGACAACACTGGATGGTGGCAGGCTATTCCATTACAAGAAACATAGAAAGATCTGCAAGAGACAAATTTGGTAATACAATGAGCTTCTTAGTTACCTGAAAGTCAAAAGTTTACATGCAGAAAATGCTAAGAAGGAAAAATCAGTAAGAAATTATAGGAAGGTAACCATGCACATCACCTAGGGACAAAATCACCAATAAAAAACTAACTTGAAAGCATCACACCTAGAACAATTATGAAACTTTTTTGATGGTAAGAATTAGAAAATAAGAGAGAAGTATTATCAGAAAAAAATGCCCAATCTAAGCTACCCACCGCTCAGCAAAATAATAACTTTGCAAATAATCAAAAGATATTCCATCCTTACATCCTGTCCATTGTTCAATTAAAATTATTATATATTTTCTTCTCTAATAGAAAGGTACCATATTAGAGGAGATTTTTTTTTAACTGAGCGCTAATTAATAATGACTAAAAACTAAATTTCACTAGCTTTCTGGCAGAAAAGGAATTCACTATTTGAATCAGAATGCTGTACCGTAATGTTATATATGCAAAAACGATCCTTGTCACTGGTCACAACAAAGTCTATATTAGTGATCATACTGGTACTCTTTGACAAGTGCATGTCATCATTAGATTTCTTTGTGTCAATAGAATGACAAAACTAGAAGCCCCTTAGTGAGCATCCCAGGTTTAAGAGTTTGGAGAAGTAAATTAGTATAATTCCTAACAGCTTTGAAAACATTTTATCATAGTAGTAAACTGTGACATATCAAAAGACAGAATTTATGAATATAAGAGTTGATCTAGACTTATACCACCAATAATAATGCAAAGGTTAATGTGGTTGGAAAGGTTAAACCAGACATTAAAAAATGGAATGTAGAGGTATCTTACAGAATTCATTTTCTGCGGAAAAGACTATGTCAGAAGGGTTTCTATCAGATTGAAAAAAGGGACATGGATTTCATTTCCCTTTCCCACATTATAAAAATCAGAATCAATTGCATTAAAATCAATAGAGTTACAGGCAAAGGAATCAGGGTCAAGATATTTAAATATTCAAATGAAGTGGCACAGCAGAGGGAGAGGCCATTCAGTAATGAGGACAGTGAATACTTTAGCCAAAGTATCAGCTCTAACTGATAGACACTGCAAAAAAATAAGCAATATTGCTTTTCATATTTACTATTTACATAACACTTATTTTCTTATATTTTCTTTTGTAATAAATTTTACCTGCATATCAGGATAATTACCTTGTATACTAGAACCTGAAAACTGAAGTCAGTTTACCCCTGTAACACAATTTTCACCCTAGCATTCATTAAACTTTCAAGCCATGACATATGTATCATGGAAGTTGTCCATCAGCCTTATGCTAGCCCTCTTGACAGTGAATGCCTTTCTTCCTGAGTGATGTGTATCAGAAACGGTTGCTGTGCTGATTATATGTCCTCATCAGCAACTTCTGATAAGCTTACAGGATGTAATTTGCAGGATATATACAGTTGATACTGAAGGCCATCCCATATAGTCATCCTTTAAAAATAATGTTAGGGCTGTCTAAAAACAGACACTAAAAGTACAGTGGGGGCTGATTCCTGACAGCATGGCTACAGATAAAGACATCCAAACAATAGTGGTATACACATGGATCTTTTTTGATGAAAGTAAAATATTAGGCACCTTAAAGTCAAGAGTTTGAATTCTGCTTCTATGCCAATTACAAACTATTGAAAAATTTAGAAACAACATGTATTGGTACCAATTTATTTAATAAGTTGGTACCAATACCAACTGTGTTTGTATAAAAGTTGCAAAAAGGAATAATTTGAAAAATTAGAACCTTAACACATTCAGTTTCCATACTCTCCACCTTTTTCCTTATTTAAAGTAAATTGTTTATACTATTCTACCTACATTAATTCCCTCTTAAAAATAATGAAGTCATACTGTAGTCATACTCTAAAACACTTAGTTATCATTCAGTGTATCAAAGTATGTGTATAATTATGTATACAGAGCAACCAGAATATTTTCTAATATTCTTTATGTATTTAAGATCATAAGATACACTGACTTTCCTCAGCTTGTTCTGTATGCCATGATGATGATGTAATACAGACGGGGTTTGTAAATGATTATCCCGCTCATAAACACGTCATGCTGTGATGTCCAAAGGTGTGGCATGGGCCTCTTCCATATTTTCACTGCAAAACATTTCCCTTTTTTAGGGATGGGGAGATATATTTTTGCTTTTTATTCCAATATACCTATGATTCAAAAATCAGTAATTCTCAATTATTCTCCTTTTTCAATTATGATCATCTATGAGACTTAAAACCATACAAAATACAGAAACAGGCTGTTAGACTTTGTTAATAGAGAGAATAGAAATTAGGATAAGTGTTCTTGGCACTCCAAGCAATTACAATTTTGAACATTAGGAAACTTAAATATGAGTAAAAAATAAATATACTAAGTAAGTTTGATTTTACTTAACTGAAGCATGAAAATCCTTTACATTTTATTTACTATGTATAGATATCTGACACTTTTCATGTTCTATTATTATTTCTTTCCATTACTGGATCCTAGACATGTATGGATAAAGAGTAAACATATGCACCTTTTCATAAACTGCAAATGACTATGAAAAAATACAGTAAGTACACATTCATACACACATGCACACACAAATATCTAAAAATGGCACCAACTGTCAGGAATTTAATTCTTGTTTCTCTGTTCTCTATAAATGAATACTGGGTTTTTGGTTGTAGCCAAGTTGGTCTAAGGACAAGGTTCTTTGGGTTGATGTGATGTCTTTTATTAGACCAACTGAGTAGTTGGAAAAAAGTTTTTTGGAAAATTTTCTTTTTTTACCAATTATTCAGTTGGTCTAATAAAAGCTGTCACATCTATCCAAATAAACTTGCCTACCTATCAGTGAATAACCATTTAAAATCCTGGATCAGATGTCCCTAGGAAAGTGGATCAAAATGTACTGAAAAAACTAAGTCACTGCATGTAAGGACATCACACTAAAGTCACAGAAGCAAATGCACACAAACAGTATGGTCTGTCCTACTAGAGGAATAGGCTACAAGTTATAGCATACAAATATTAGTAGTAACTTCTCAGTGCTGATGACTGGGAATGATATGAGATGGAACTAACTGCGGAAGTAGAAATTATTTTTTGTCAACTAGCAGTCACATGACCTTTGTAAAGAAGTAAGCTTCCTAAGAGCCAAAACTGAAGGTCTTGAGAGCTGAAGGATAGAGGCCAATATATACCTGATCAGAGTTCCAAAAAAACTTACAAACACATCACTGTAATATGGATCCATAATCACCTTGCTGCAGATCATACTCATTGGTAAATAAACCACATACTGTTAGAATGAGTTGGCTAAGTACAAATAAATTCTCTACTTTGACTAAGATGAATAATTTCCTCAGGAACTAGCAGAAGTGAAGTAACAAGAAATTTGGGGAAGTGTAAGTTCCCTCAGCAGGCATGTCTGCACATGCAATTAACTCTAAAGCTTATTGCTCCAGAATTGTTTGCTTCTGGATCAACTTTTGAATGTGTGCCCAAAAACAAGTAAGTCTGGACCACTCGGTACCAAAGTTTATTCAAACACAGTATGTGGAGCCTGGTCAGAGCAGCCCCAACTGGCAGGTGGCCCTGGGGGTCAGCCTGCCAGCCCAGGGCTGCTCTGACAAGACTCAATGTGCCACAGAGGGACTGGCTGGGGTATGTGGGTGCTTCATTGTGGGGCTAGCCCCTTCACTGAAGCACCCTTGTGCCTCAGCCAGCTGGGTCAGCACCTACATGTGCAGTTATGCATGAAAAAACTCCACAGTAAGGTAGTACTTCTATTTACAAGTTATTGCAGGTACTTGTATTTATAAGTACTACCCTGCGACAGAATGTATTAGTTTCTTGTGCTCTAGTAGAGGCACACATGTAGACATGAGATGTTTACTGTGGAGCTAATTAGTCAGCTCCCCAGTAAACAGCTTATGTAGATGTGCCCAGCAAGGCTACATAAAATAAAATTATGATTGACTTTATCATACCCAGACGTTCAGAATATCCAAAGCTAAGTTCTACCATGATGAAATAAATGGAGAAACATTAACTAGAAAAAGAATCTGCATGAATAGCTATTTGATTGATTGATTGACTTATATACATGCTGCTCAGGAAAGTTTCCAATAAAAACAAGATGGATTACAAAACCAGATAAAACATTAAAATGAAATAGTAAATAATAAAATAACTCCCCAAACAATATACCCAAACATAAGTCCTCCAGCTAAAAAGCCTGCCCAAATAAAAAGGCCTTACAATGTTTCCAAAAGATCATAGAATCATGGAAACTTAGGGTTGGAGGGGACCTCAGGAGGTTATCTATTCCAATCCCCCTGCTCAAAGCAGGAACATCCCCAACTAGATCATTTCAGCCAGGGCTTTGTCGATCTGGCCTTAAATACTTCCAAGGACAGAGATTCTACCACCTCTCTAGGTAACCCATTTTACTGCTTCACCATCTTCCTAGTGAGGAGGCTTTTCCCAATATCCAACCTAAATCTCTCTTTTTGCAACTTGAGACCATTACTCCTTCTTCTGTCATCTACCACCACTGAAAACAGTATAGCTCCATCCTCTTTCAAACTACCTGATAAGTCATAGAAGGTTGCTATCAAATTCTACCTCAACCTTCTCTTCTGCAGTCTAAATAACCCTTGTTCCCTCAGCCTTTCCTCATAAGTCATGTGCCCCAGCTTCATTTCACTGCCCTTCGCTGGACTCTCTCCAGCTTGTCCACATCTTTTCTATACTAAGAGGCCCAAAATTGGACATGGTACTCCAGATGTGGCCCCACCAATGCAGAAGAGTGGAATAAATACTTTACTCGATCTGCTGGCAATGCTGCTACTAATGCAGCTTAGTAAACCATTAGCCTCCTTGGCAATAGGGGCACACTGTTATAATTAGGGATCCTGGTTTTCTCTGATTAAAAAACTATCCCCAATTTTTGGATTAAAAAAAGTAACCAACATGTATATATAGTGATGTGTTATTTTAATCATGGAAACATAAATTCTGGGTTACTTTTTTAATCCAAAGATTGGGGATTTTTTTTTTAAGCAGAGAAAAGTAGCACTGCAGTTTATTATGTACTGTAACCCCCAGGTTCTTTTCTGCAAAGCTGCTGCTTAGGCAGCTGGTCCCAAGCCTTTTCCAGTGCATGTGATTGTTCCATCCTAAGTGCAGGACTTTGCACTTGTTTTTGAACATAATAAGATTTCTTTTGGCTCAATCCTCCAGTTTGTCTAGGTCTCTGTGAATGTTATCCATATTTGACAGCCAATCTAATACACACCTCCACCCCCCACCCCATCCCCAGCTTAGTGTCATCCATGAACTTGGTATGGGTGCAATCCATCCCATTTTCCAGACCTTGAGCTATTGATCACTACCCATTGAACTGGATGATCCAGCCAGCTTTCTATCCACCTTGGAGTCCATTCATCTAACCCATACTTCCTCAGCTTGCTTGAAAAAATGCTGTGTGAGACCATATCAAAAGCCTTGCCAAAGTCAAGGTCCATACTCTGCTGCTTTCCTTTCTTTTGTCAGGATCCTGAACTTGATAATCTCATGATCAGTGCTGCCCAAGTTGCCATCCACTTTTAAACCCCCTCTCAATTCTTCCCTCTTTGTGTGCAACAGACCAAGAAGGGCATGGCCTCTAGTTGGTCTTTCCCAACACTTGCACCAGGAAGTTGTGTCCAATGCTCTCCAGAAACTACCTGGATTTCCTGTGCACTGCTGTATTGGTGGAACATCCATGAAAGAAGTGAAGGTCCTGATGCTAGGCCCTTTTTCTTCTGACAGTATTTGAATCCACATCTCCTATTTGCCAACGTGTGTTGTGACCACTATACTACAGTATATTGGTTTATAGTCCCACTTGCCAGGATTATTTTTTAACCATTAACTATCTAACATAAAGTGCATCAATAGTCTTGCGAGTAAGTAAAATGGAGTTTTGGAAGTACTGATTTATGACCATACTTAATATTTCAATCTGTGCCTGTTGCATCCTCGCTAATTGTTATCTCCAGTGCCAAAGATGATCTTAAAGTCAGCTTTTAATATTAATCTAATACAAGTAATGAAACCTCTAGTTCACATTGTAAATTGGTACTACTATTGCTAAACCTTGCATCAGATTCTGATTTTGAATTCCAGTGAAGAATACTGTGAAATATAATGGATTTCACAGAGTACATTTGAAGGCCTCAAGGTATGCTTTATCTGGATAAGTCTTTAAACCATTGTTGAGAAACACTGATCTACCCAAGCACTTTTTCATTACTATATTTAACCTGCATCTACCTAGCACATAGTGGAAATCTAACAGCATCTATCTCTGTGGTAATCACATTTAGGCTCTTGGGTAAAAATCTAACAGGCTTTTCTGTCACATCAATGGATAACACTTACTGCAGACTACTTTGAAGATTTTTAACTGCTGGATTTTTTTTTTGCCATAATCTAAAAAGGCCAAAATATCATCTGTAATGTTTAACTAGTTCACCAAATAAATAAAAATCAGTTCCACACTAAAGGCAATGTTGCTAGGAAAAGTCTAATCCTAAATCATCATTTTTACTATGTGTCATTTTAGATGTAGTATAATACAGCACCTAAGCACAAAATTCAGGCTTCCTACAGACATTTAGTTTCTCGTGGGAGAGTTGCTATGCTCTGGCAGGGTATAAACATGC